GGGAGCGGGGGGAGAAAGCCCTTCATAAGCACAAGGCTGTGACCTGTGCCTTCTCGGTGGTAGTGGGCAAAAGCCGGCAGCTCTTAATCCTGACGCCTGCTCTTGTAGGCAGGAGGTGGGACCTGCACAGTTCTGGAAAAGCATGTGAAGGATTTGGCCATGTTACCAAAACCTTAGTAATGTAAATGGGTTTGATGCAGTAACTTCATAGGCAGGGAGGAAGGAAGGAAGAAGGGGTGGGAAGGAGATGAGAGGGAGGCAAGAAAGAAAGGAAGAAAGAACCTAAAATTCCTATAGCAGATCAGTTAAACCAGTTGCAGTAAATCCATATGAAAGGATACTATGAGGTCATTAAAACTAGGTTATAAAATAGGATAAAGATATTCTACAGGTACCATTTAATTAAAACAACAGGCTTCAAAATGGAACTTAAAGCATGGTCTCATTTTGTAAAAAAATAATAATAAAAGCAACCGTGTGTGTATGTACCAAACACTGATGCAAGCGCTTGGCATGCGTGCATTCATTTAATCCTTGCACTTGTTGGAGGTAGCTGCTCTCATTGTCCCCACTTTGCACGGAATGCAAAGGAGGCCACGGAGGTCACGTTCCTTGCCCAAGTCACCTGGCAGCAGGCTGGAAGCCCAAGCCCTCAGCTCCCAGCTGTGCTCAGCTGGAAGATAAAGTGCTGAAGAGGAGTGTTCAAGCAAACTCTGCTGATCTCTCTTACTTCCAGTTCAGAGGCGATGAGGAAATCTGCTTATTAGTGTGCACTGTTACTTGGTGTTCATAAATTAGGAATGCATTTATATTAGTCAGAAAAATGTTTAAGTGATCATTTACTTCCACATTGCCCAAGATGATCGCAAAGAGGGCAATGGTTAAACATGCTATGATGGTGAAGTAAGTTGAGGGTAAAATTGGGCTCAGAGAAAATCATCTTGTAGTATTAGGTCATTTGTCAAGGCAGAGAGTTCAGAGGCAGGGCAGGTGGGTGGGATGCCCAAGTCACATATGTAACTTTAAATCTCCTAGCAACCACATTTTAAAAAGTAAAAAGAGACAGGCGGAATTAATTTTAATAAATATTTTATTTAATCTGACATATCCAAAATAGTTCCATTGCAGTATCTAATTGATATAAAAGTTACCGAGATAGTTTGCATCTTTTTGTATTAAACCTTTAAAGCCCAGTGAGCATTTTACTCCCCGTGCTGTGAGAGCTCAATAGCCACATGTGGCTAGTGGCAACCGTATTGGACAGTGCGATTCTAGATCAACCGTTCTCAACATTTTCCCACTCTAGACCACTCCTACCAGAAGCAGTGGGGTTGGAAGGGTGGTGATTATGAAAACTTCCATAAGAGATTGTCACAAACTTTCCTAAGGGAATCATTTCCTCCCCCAATCCCTTGAGATTACTGTTTCCATGCTTCCTATTCTGTTTCCTGTAAGTGATAATTAACAGAAGCTTCCTGAAGGGGGAGGGAAGTTGTCCAGGCATCTGGGCTCCTCTGGGGCAAGGCACAAACTCACCCAGAAATGGGATGTGGAGGGATGTTTCCGGGGGCAGATGCAAAGTCCCTAAATTGAACTTGAGACTCCGAGGTTGTGAAGAGCAGTGACCCATATGACATGTTTCCTTTGTCCTTCCTATCTGAGCTGCCAAGGCAAGCTGGCCTTCCAGGAGGAGGTGAAAGTGTTTGAGGATGCTTTCTCTGCCCTCTTGGTACAATGAGAGAAAGTATTCTCAAAAGGAGCCAGAAAAAAGTGAGTGAGGGGAGACAGAAGGGACTCAAAACCCATGCCCCAAAACTGGCAGGCCATGAACAAAGATAAGGAAATGGATTTAGCTATATTATACCCTAAGACGAATGTGAGACTAATGGAGCTGGGCCTCCAAGGAAGGAGCAACGCCCCCTTCTTTAGGGATGACCAGTGGAAGGGGCAGACCCCAGTCAAGTCAGGGAATGCCACTGCAGTCTCCAGAGGGAAAGAACGGCCACATGGAACAGGACATGGCTAGCACTGAACCACACTCTCCCCTGGAAGAGGGAAAAAATGCACACTAAAAACAAAACTAAAAGATAGACAACGATCCTGAGGCATCTTGAATAACCTTGCCATCAAATACAAAATGCTGAATAAAATATTGTTTAAAAATATTTCTAAATGTATTGCTGAGTTCACAAGTAAGTAAAGAATCAAATCTTCTGAGGCCAAAAATGAAGGAAGAGCTGGAATCCAGGAGGGTGAGCTAACTCTGAAGCTGGCAGCTCTCCTGAGGCACCTGCTCGAAATGTGCGTCCTTGAAATTCTGTCTGATGGTTATGGGGATGCAAGGGACAGGAGTCAAAACTCTCAAGGAGGGTGTCTGAGAGGGTAAAGCTGGGCCAGGGCTGTACGTTGGGTGTCAGGCAAATAGAGGCCAATCTGCCCTGCAGAAGGAAACGGCAAGGAAAACAGCAAGGCCCTTCCATCTTGATCTTAGGTAAAAGAAAAATAAATCTCAGCCGAGAATTTGTAACCATAAAACTGGCCCTCATGTGCATATGCAGCACAAACGCACAATACCTATGTTGGCTACAACTCAAGCCACGTATGTGCTTAAAAAGTGGTCTTGAACCATGTGGCTATACTAAAACCACTGAACTGAATACTTAGAAAGGGTGATTTTTGTGGTATTTAAATTACATCTCAAACACATACACACACACACACACGCAGATCCTGTTAATGGGGGAATAGTGGTCCTGATATATAGTGTCTTCAGGTATTTGGCAGACACAAATGTGAATGCTCTCTAGATGAACACACCCACAATCCAATTTTGTCATTTACTGATAAATTCTAAGGAATAAGAGGTCACAGTAAGAAAATCACAAAATATACAAGGGAAAAAAGCATCCATGGACACAAGTCAGCAAAGTGGACAAGCAAAGACTTCAAATACAGGAATTATCAGACAAAAAATATAAGTATATAAAACAACATGAAAATAAATAAGAAACTGACAATGAGAGGGGGGAAAAAAGACTATAAATAATGGCCGAAAACATTTTTAAAAAATCTAAATAGAAATTCTAGAAATGAAAAAATATAATAATTGAAATTAAGAAATTCAACAGCAGATTAAATATGGCTGAAAAGAGAAATAAGAATTACAAGACAAGTGGCAAAAGGATACCCGTACCCAGATGGTATAAAAAGACAGACAATACGAAAAAGAGGTGAAGACAAAAGGAACAAAAAGGAAGAAAGTCCAACATATACCTAACTGGAGTTCTAGGAGAAGAGAGATCAAAGAGAACTGCAATATTCAAGAGGGCAATGGCTGAAAATTTTACAGAACTAATAATAAAAAGTACGAATCCTCAGAGTAAGGAAGCCCAACAAGTCCTGGGAAGCTGAATTAAAAAGAAACACAAACCCTAATCATAGTGAAACTGCAGAAAATAACAGAAAAAACTAGGTCTTAAAAACTACCAGAGGGAAAAAATGACAAGTCATCTACAGAAGATGACAGTCTAACTGCTGACTTTCCAACAGCAACCATGGAAGCCAAAGGACAGAGGGTGAATATTTTCAATGTGCTGAAAGAGAAAAATCTAGAACTGAATACTCTGCAAAACTATCTCTGAAAAACATCTTGAGATTATGTCTCAAAATAGAAACATTTCAGTCACATTTGAGTTTATCAACCACATCCACTCAGGGAAATTATGGAGAATTTATTCCAAGCAAAAGAAAAACAATCCTACATGAAAGCTTTGAGATGCAAGAAATAATGAGCAAAGAAAACGGTAAATGTGGACATAAATCTAAAGAAATAGTGGGTTTATAAAATAATTTCTCACTTGTGGGATTAATAAAACAAGACAGAGCATATCCTGGATAACAACA